TCAGCGGTGTAATAAAAAAATGAAATTCAAATATTTGGTGTGGAAACAATTGTCGAAACGAAAGTGGAAACACTATGTTTATCGATTTCCCGCATTTTTTCATAGTTGTTTTCTCACATTTCTGGCATTTCTGCAAGATTTATTAATTAAATTATCGTATTCCGTAACTTCCGTTGACCAGTCAGTAGCACGCTGTGGGCTTCAGAATCAGTGTTAAAAATGTCGCTTCCTGTTTCTGCATGTTTTGAGTCTTTTCACGAGAAGATACATTAGTAAAAAAAATATTAAGATGACCATCGGTTTTGCCGATTAATCGGCCGATGGTGGGTAAATATCGGCTGTTAACAATCGGTATCGATAATCGGCTTTTTTTAGACATCGGCTCACCTCTATTTTCCGCTTAGCTCGGGGAAAACCTTATAACTTCAACCAAGTCTAGTATAGCCCCAGCGAGTTAACGCTCCGTAGAGCGTCTTGTTTGTTGTGATTTTGAAGGCGTTGTGCGCGCACTGATTATTTATCAGGCGTTTATTTATATATGTCGTGAAAGGCCACGCTATCAAAATACTCAATTTATACATATACTCAAATTGAAACGGAGCCATATGCATTGTGCTCGCACTGATTATATTGTGTGCAAAACTTCAAAACTACCGTACATTTTGTAAATAACATGAAATATAAATATCAAGCAAAATTCTCATTAATAGTAATACTATTGAAATTTAATACAACGAAATAGCAATTTACTTCGACAATTTCAATTCTATTCCCTTGTTATGCCACGTCACAAGGAAATCACATGAGATTGCGTAACAATTACCCAACATTCAGTGCGTACCTAATTCGGCGTTCAGTGAGGGTACAGAAAATTCTGTGCCCAAAATTATTGAAAATATTTTAAAATTTTAATTTAAATCGTTACAAAAGAGCGCTTAAAAGCGAAACCAACTGCTCCAGAGCAATTTGAACCAATAATTTGGTAGTTTTGCTCGAGAATTCAGTGCGATTCCCAGGAATCGTCCACGGACTCAACATGGCCGACTCCGAGGGCGAAATCGAAGATGATGCACGACTGCTCGAAGGCGATGAGGCCACACATGCACAAGAAAGTCCTACTGGCGATCGGCACGAGAGTCGATCCAATATGGAGGAGAAGTTCCAGGAGCTATCGGGCAACATTAAAGATGGTTTTTCTTCGCTTGGCGAATTCTTGACAGATCTGATGCAACAAGAATCACGAGGCAAGCGCTTTCGCCAAAAATCAAGGTCTTCCTCGTCGGATTCGGCTGACGGCGACCAAACAACCAGCTCTAAACGGGCAAGACTCGAGGATGAACAGAACGACGACGTAGCTGTGTTGCTTGGCGAGTCCCAGCCCCAGGTGGAAAACTCTGGCAATGACAATGAAGAAGAGTTTGGCGCAATTTTGGACAGTGTTGTCCAAGAGCTGGACGAAGAACAGTTGGGGCCTGATGTGTCCGAGAAGCTGCATGCCCAAGTTATTAATAAAACTCTGCGCTCAAAATTGAGCGAGGAAAAACGTAAAGAAAAGCAAAACGCTTACCCTAAACCACAAAATTGTGAATCACTAGAAACTACTCGGGTTAATCTAGAAATCTGGGCACGACTACAATCTTCAACCAGATCTCGGGACATACGTCTCCAGAAAGTACAAAGCCTCTTGCTGAAAGGGCTACTGCCATTAGTTCAGCTCCTTGAAAATTGTCGACAATCGGATGATAGGTCGACTGATAAAGGAAAAATCATCAAGCTGGCACTTGACTCAGTAAGCCTAGTCGCTCAGGCAAATGTAGAGCTCAATAGCCGGCGACGAGCATTGATTAAGCCTGATTTGAATGAAAAATTTCAGCAAATCTGTGGCGATCATGTGCCGATTACAACATTGCTTTTTGGGGATGATG